AATACATAATGATTCCGAAACTGTATTTATCAAAGCATGTGACCATTATTGGATCAAAAATATAGATTTAAATATTCAAATTATTCAACTTACTTTACCATCAAAGTTTTATATTTGGATTCTGACAAAATTCAGCGTGAATGCAAAAATTACGAAACTTTGTTTTGAAGACATATTAAAAACACGAATTAATGTTGATAAACAACTCCAACAAACCCCAAACATTAAAATCCAAATTGAAATGGATCAAACCGTATTCTATGAACTTTGTGGTGCTCTAAGAACATATAATGAAGCTAAAAACTTTTACTTGCCATTACAATCTCTCAATGCGAGACCGCGGAAATTCTGGTGCCATTATTTAAATGCCATCTACCTAAGTTATTTAAGGAAAATATAAGCAATATTATGTTACAGGAATGGATGGGCGCACTACATACTTTAATTTATGATGCCGATAATTTAAGTAAATCAACCAAGATGTTTAAAAAATATGCACTTAATTTTATTAAAGAAACGTGTATAATGACTAATATGCCGTTGGTCACTGCATATAGTATCCCTCAAAAATAATACTTTCCTTGATTAAGGCCCGGTATTATTTCTCGCCTAGCTTAATTATTGAATAAGATCCGGATACTATATGCAGTGGTCAACGATAATGGCATTTTTAAAGATTATATTATAGGGAAATCTTTGTAACGTTAAGTTTATTATGTTTTACTATAAATTTTTAGAGGGTGACGTAGTGCGTGTATTTGATTTAGAGTTGGTATAATAGGAGGGTAATAAAAACAAGGATAAGGAATAAATATGTATTGGGATTTTTACTATGTCCATAAGATCAATATAATCGGGTAACTATAGAACTATGTGATCTAAGGATTATTAATTAAATATATATTACTTATGTATCTTTTTCCTCTCTTAGTATATATTATAATAATTAAAATTTTTATGGTTATTGTTCAAATGATATATGAAAGTATTGTAAAACTGTAAAAGTCAATGTAAATTTAGTATTTTGACGAGTTACTGTAAATGGCCGCATACAACCAACTATACTTGGGTCTATAGTAAAATACTGATATTTACAACGGATACTGTACTCTGGTGTTTGACGGGGGATATAAATAATCGATATTACCAACGCAAAATCAGAATTTTATATCCTCGTTAGAGCTATTAAAAAGCTTGCGGATCCAGAGGGCATAAACCGATGGGAGGTACCTTTCACGGTAATTTACGATACGCGTATATAGAATATATGAGCACCCTTATGTTAAGAAATTCCTGAGCTGCTAATCAAAAAAATATGGGCTCAAAAATTCCCAATACATCCGACATTAAAATTGTGTTACAAAATTTTTAAGATTCTGTGGTAGGTGTTACATTGGGGTTCTACGTCAGCTATGTAAATCAAATCTATATCAGGTCCCCTTAATATTTCATTATTAGAAGATTTTAATTAAAATTTAATGATCTCATCGATCAAAAGTATATAATATAAATTAAATATTTCTTTTAGATGCACAGATCGAATTTCTTTCTCTTTGAAATTTTTTAAAAACCAATCGTTTTTTACGCAACATATTTACAAAGTTACGAAGTGTTTTTCATATAAGGTTATATACATTGGTTCCAAAATCCTATTATTTCTATTTTCAACGTTAAACAGCATTATAATTTTAAATTTGAACCGAATTGTAAGTTTTTTTTTTATTTAATTATAAAAAATGGCATTGTAACTTTTTTCGTAGAGGCTTAATCTTAATTTCTACAAAATATTATTTTGAATTATGGTAAAGTTAAAGCTAAGCATCTATTTTTTATATGTACTAGCAATGGGTATATCATATAAGCATTGATTTCAACTAAAAAATTATAATAAAATTCAATTAGAAAAGCAAAAAGAAAAGCAGCATGACAAGATGATTAATAAAATAAATCAATGTTTGGATATAATAGATTCTAATCAACTTCAATATATTCTAAATACTATACAAAGTATTTCAACTGTGAGCGAAGATAATTCACAACCTATAATAGCAAGTAATGATGATCAGCATAATGAAGATCCCAACTATTCTAAAATAATTTTTATGATCAAACAATTACCTGAAAAGGAACTTTTATCAATTGTACACCTAATTTCAACGATGTGATATCAAACTAGATCTGATAAGGGCAAAATTTATTCACCATATTTGCAAAAAAAGGCCTACAAATTTATATCTCAATCACTTTACAAACAGCAGCCTACATATCAGTTATTACAAAAGTTTAATGCAAAATTAAAAGTTGATCTCAACAAATTTCAAAAACAAAATCAAGCCCTAATTAGAAAAATGCAATCGTCAAGAGCCCAAATCATGCACTTTCGCAATCAAAAATCAAACCAAATATTAATTATTCATTCACTTTCTCGCAATCTTGTCAGATTACTGATCAAGTTTTTCAAAAAAAAATCAAATCTATTTTTTAAGAAAATAAATGCAAATATACATCTAATATGATTTGGTTGGCAACTAGTATTTCGCAAGTTGGTCAAATTTTGTTAAATTCAAC